TCTCTCTCTCTCTCTCTCTCTCTCTCTCTCTCTCTCTCTCTCTCTCTCTCTCTCTCTCTTGTGCACGCTCTTAGTCTCATTGCTTTGGCTTCCTTAGGGATGCGTTCCCCGCGTAGACAATACCAGACCCCACCATACCGCAGCCTTAGGGCTGCAAATTTCGACCCCTACATGTCCTATTTTGCAGTGGTCGTCTACGTCCCTAAATTTGGGCACCTTTATACAGAAGCCCGACCGCACCATACCTCAGGCCTTAGGACTGGGAACATCGCGGTGGTTGGGCCCGCAAGGGCCTGCACGACCCATCCTGCCCGGCCATTGGCAGCCGCACGGCGTCTCGAGCTTCGGAAAACCAGATGATAGAGCAAAAAGTGGCAACCCAAAGCAGGGCCAAGGGATCTTCTACCCCGAAACAAATAACTGGCGTTGCCAGCCATCCGTGTCTGTAGATCCCCTTGGCTCGGGCTGCCCTTCGCTACTGGGGTCGGTCTTGGTTGCCTTTCGTTTGGGTTTAATCCTCGTGCTAGTAAAGCGTGAATCTGGTCGTCAAACGGCCCATATTCGTACTATGTTGGAGGATATCTTACTTCTCGATCCCCGCAGTTTGTGAACTGCTCATGCTTCAGACAAAACCCTCGTGAGTGACGAATGCCGCGTCCAAGGTGTCTGTCATATCGTGTCCGTTCATCAGTGTTCAATAGCGGTGTTCGGTCCTACAATTCAGTTTCCAGGATCGCGCACTGATGCTGAAGCAGTCAGGGAGAAGGTGATGAGATCCAGAGAGCGGCGCGGACGAGCAAGCTTGGGAAGAGAGCGGATGCGTTCGTGCACCACTAGTGGTGGCGTCATACCCTGTGTTTCTCTTTGTCGTCGGTCCGTACTGGACAGGATTAGGCTGGGAAAAGCGATCCTGTGGGAAGTGCGAGGGGAGCTCCGCCGCGAGAGGGCAGGGCTGTTCTGATTGGCGGGGAAGGGGAGGAGGGAATAATAGAGGGAAAAGGGAAGAAGACACGTGGCCCCGATTCATTTACTCGGGGAAAGTAGGGGGGAGTGAGGTTGGACATGTTTGAAACAAGGTCATGGTGGTAATCATTGCATCCGAAGCCGTGTGATCTCCTGTGCTGACGAGATTGATTGATCCATTTTCAGGCGTGTATGCCTTCGGTGTGATGGGGCTGCCGTTTCCTGAGGCAGAAGACGGAGGGGGACACGCACAAGGCAGACTCGTCTCTGCGCGTTGTCAAGGATTGTGCGGCGATGGCGGTGATGATTTACAGTAATCTGTGATGATCACGGTCATGTTGATGCGGCAAAGCTGATACGTCGATAGTGGTGGTGGTGGCACTGATGATTATAGTGTTGATGGTGATGATGAGGGTGGTCGGATGGCTGTACGGGCTTCAAATGATATCGTGGAGAGAATGGTCGAGCAGGGGGCCGGGGGTTGCCGGTGAAAAAAGGTGGAGTTCTAGTGTAGTGTGACTCCTGAACGGGAGTAGTAATCCAAGCGCAGCAAGAAATTGGCTGAATTGGAATCGGACTTGGGAAAAGTAAGGATCAATGATTAATAGCCAGATAAATCCAGGGAGGGAAGTCGGAAAGATGAGATGCTAGTTTGATCCGACTGTCTCCGGTAATCGACATTGATTACCTAGTAAATTTATAGTGCGAAAGAGAGTTAACAAATGACTCACTGAAGGATAGTACACGAAAGCAAGCGCGCCAAATCAAGGTGAATGAAAAGAGCGTAAGCGCGCCAACTCAAGGTGAATGAAATGAGAGAGAGAGAGAGAGAGAGAGNGAGAGAGAGAGAGAGAGAGAGAGAGAGAGAGAGAGAGAGAGAGAGAGAGGAGGTGGTGGGGGGTGGGGACAAGGAGCCAAGTAATAACCAAGGGACCTTTATGAACGATCAGGCAAGGAAGGTAAAGGATGCACGGATGAGGTAAGGGAGGCGGAAGGCAACAGAGAAGATCCCTTTGGCGGATGGGATTTGCGGATAAGGAAGGCATTACCGACGTACAAGACAAGAGTTCTTCTCCGTAGGCTGCACCTTCAGCAGCAGGGGCGATGACGCAAAAGATAAGGTGATCCGTTTCTTTTCCCGCTCAGCTATATATCATTAGTCTACGTCACACTTACGAAACCCTGTCTGCCTGTCGTACATGCACGCTTATTAAATCCGTACGCGGGCGAGAGGTATGTGGAAAGCCCCCCTGGATGGATGCGCAGGAAGCGACATACAGAGAGTCCGATGCACACATGCTTGTGTATATTACACATACAGCAGGATGGTGAGGGGGCGAGAGAGAGTGGCGGGGGAACAGAGACGGAGATGCACAGGGAAGCGTGGAGGGGGAATTAGATAGATAGGTAGATGGATAGATAAGAGGATAGGGGGGAGAGAGAGAGAGAGAGAGAGAGAGAGAGAGAGAGAGAGAGAGAGAGAGAGAGAGAGAGAGAGAGAGAGAGAGAGAGACATTGCCGGCAATCCCCAACGGAGAGAGAGTAGGAGGGAGGGAACCAGGGAGGAGAAGTGAACGAGAGGAGAGCATCTGGGCTGTTGTTGGTGGAGGTTGAGGAGTGCTCGCCGTGATGGTGGAGGTTGATGAGTGCTCGCCGCGACAGCGGCTGCGTATGCGGGACTCGACTTTAGACGTTCTGCCACCGGAGATGATCATGCGCATGCTGAGCCTGTTATCACCGTCCGATTGGGCTCGCGCTGCGCAGACTTGTCGTTTTCTGCGCTCTGCGTGTGACGACTTGCTGGGCACAGCTCGAGCCCTCGACCTTCGGCACGCGGGCGCGGCGATGGACAGCAAGTGCTTTGCGAGCGTGGCGCGCAAGTTGGGGCCCAATCTCCGACGTCTTGATCTGGACTGCAGTTATCTGAGGGACGAAGCGATGGAGCTCTTGCCCCCCACTCTGAGCGACGTGGCGCTGACGGGCTGCGATCATCATACAGACGCCCTACTGGTCAACCTTGGGGAGAGGCTCGGTCCGAACCTTCTCCGCTTCGCCTTCTCGGGTTTTGGCGGGGCCATATCTCGATCCGGCTTCGAAGCGTTGATTACCAAGTGTCCCAACCTGACCTGCTTGTGCGTTGACGGGAATGGTCTCCTTGATACCAACGCTATCGTTAGGGCAGCGGCGGCCACGTGTCACAATCTCAGCGAGCTGAGTACCTACGATCTAACGCTGGATACTTTCCGCTCCTTGAAATCCAAGTATAAGGTTTCTCTCCGAGCTTTTCGCCACAAAAAGCGGCGGAGCGGTGGCCTCTCCGTGGGCGACCAATCTATGCGCGCTATCGTCGATGTGTGTCCTCAGCTGGAGGAGCTGAACTTGATTGATAAATCGGACGGCAGCCCATCCGCCGAGTGGGATCCTCAGTCAACGACGTTGACCGACAGCGGTATTCTGCTTTTGACCCTGTGCGCGGAGACGTTGACCTCGCTGAAACTGGGTCTAAGCGGTCGAGCGGGGAACGAGAGGTGTTCAGAAGTGGCGGTAATGCAGCTTATGAGCGAGTGCAAGAAGTTGGTGCACGTGGAGCTCAGCAATTTCCGCCGCCTGACAGACCCCCCGGTGTACGAGTTGATCCAATGCCATCCAGCGTTGGTCGAACTATGCCTGGACGCGGCGCCGATTACCAACACGTGCCTCGAGGCGATAGGTCAAAATTGCCCGCGACTTCGAATCCTATCGGTCAAGTTTTGTAAGAAATTGACGGAGAAAGGCCTGATTTCCCTGCGAAATTGCAGATGGCTGGAATCTTTGAACCTGGGCCAGACCAACGGTGTGACGGACACCAGCGTCTCCGCCCTCTGTTCCCATTTGCCCCGTTTGAAATCCTTGGTCCTCAACTATGGCCTGCTCTCCGACAACGCGCTTCGCGCCATTGCGCGCTGCTCGGAGATGCAAGATCTTGCTCTCCATGGCTGCTCTCACGTAACTAGCAATGGTCTCCGAACCTTAGCTTCCGGCTGCCCTCGTCTGCGTTTCCTCTGCCTTAGCAATTGCGAGCATATTACCGACTCTGGTGTGGTCGCCATCGCCAAAGCTTGCCCATTTCTTCTCAAGGTGCGGCTGGATGGTTGTCGTCTCCTGTCCAACCCGTCTGTCAGAGCTCTCGCTCAGCATGCCCCTCGCCTTAGAGATCTGAGCATGCAGCATTGCCCCAAACTGTCAGATGGTGTTTTTGGTCACCTCCTGGGGGCATCCTCCTTAAGGTTCCTTGATCTTGGAAGGGGAAAGTTGTCGGGGCCGGCGGTGAGTGGATTCAGGAGGAGCAGACCAAACGTCGAGATTCATTTGGATGGGACACTCTACGACATTACCCTGGAGCCGTATTCTTGAACTGAAAGTTGACCTTTCGTGAAAGAAAAAAAAGGGGGAAAGGAGTGAAAGGAAGAGCGTCAGGGGAAAAAAGCCGACAAAAATAACAAACAGAGTTCAACAAACTTGCAGTGCGCAGCTCCTTCCCTCCACGTTAATCCACATACTCTATCCATGAATGCTCCTGACTTTCCCTACCCTCGGCCTGGCGTTTTTCTTACCGCCTAAAAGGTTTAAAGTTTAAACCCGGGCGAGAAGAAGAAACTGTTGAGGTGGCTGGCTGCCCCTAGCAACATCTGTTAAGTTGGAACCATACAGAGAAGATTAGCATGGCCCCTGTCCAAGGATGACACCATTTTTTTATTGAGGAAAGTAAAGGTGATGGAGAAAGGAGGGTATGTGTTTATGGGCTAGGAGGGCAAAAGGTCGAGAGGACTGGTCTGAAATGCATGCCAGTCTATGGGCACTCCTTCCAGAGTAGAAGACACCAACCCTGCGCTGCGTATAGACGAGTGGCGGGAAATGTATGCCAATGTTTAGCTAATCCTCTGGATAATCCTCCAGCGTCTCCTCTACTCAAAAGGCTCAGTGAGGTTGGTCTTCAACAGTAGACGACGCCCCTATTTCGTCCTCTGATAGCTTAGGCAAGAGAGCCCATCTCCGAGTATTAAGCATATCATGGCCTCTCTGATTTCTCTCTTTCCTCTGTGTCATAAGTAGCAGTCTTTTGATTGGTGTTTGTACTGTCCTCCTAGAAGTCGCAATTCTTGTTTCTTGTCCACATCATATCTTTCTCTGTCATCTCCATGGCAACTGGCTTCAATTGGTCGCCGAAATTCAACATATCTATCCTTGTGTTTCCTCTCGTACTTGTTCTGCATGTCATTCATTGCCCTCCCAACTCAAACCACCAGTGACGCTGGGGAAAAAAAACACTCACTCAATCCTCAGTTCCTCTTGACAACCAGGAGGTTCTGGTCTACGTTCGAAGTAAAGATCCGTAGGGGAGTACCCTGCCAGGGAAAGGGGAATACCCCCTTTCCCCAGTTCATGGGCCATGAGAGTGTCTGACAAGAAGCCATTGCGTTACCTCTCGGCAGAAAAAAAGACCCCACAGATTGCCACCTAGTCCCCTTCTTTCTTTTCAGCATAGAGAAAATAGGTTGGACCTCTCGAAAAGACTGCGGTCTGGGACATCGCCTCGTTGGAGAGGCTCTGGACCATAGGGAATCAGGGTTAGCTGAACATGTGAGGTATTGATGTTTCAAGGGATCGAACTGACCTGCTAAAACTGGCCTGCTTCACTTGTCGCTGCACCTCACTACCTCGCTTCCCGCTTGCCACGGTCAGAAAAGACTGTACGGCGAACAAAAAGGGGAAAAGCCAGACAGAATTACGTCCGCCAATGGCTTTTCCTTGGTATGTGTAAGAAAGACAACGGATTTCTTTGCCTACGTGCAACAAGTGGCTGGTGGCAGTGCATAGAGGGGGGGGGGAATACGGAGATGGTGTGTGTGTGTGTGTGTGTGTGTGTGTGTGTGTGTGTGTGTGTGT